TTAGCCAGAGTAGATTATCATTTTCATTTAAATAATTGAACTGGATTGAATGCATATTAATTGCAAATAGAAGATAGACCACAATTCTACCAGCTGTACAGTAACAGTGGAAGTTAATATGAAGCCGTACAGTAACAGGGTTCAATGAAACCTGTGCACTACCAAAGGGAAAGCAACATGTGCACTAGCTGGATGCTACTACCTACTAAAGCTCTTATTGATGTGTCAGTGTCAACCAGAGTATATTTATAAATGTTTATTCTTTTAATCAAACTATTGTTTTAGTTTGTAAAATGTTAAAGTTATTAAATAAACAAGATGAAGACAGGAGAAAGTATCAGAAAATAGAAAGTACAAGTACAAGTTATTTTCTACCACTGATGTTTGTCTTTTTATGCAAAATACATGAAACAAAATAAAGAACACATAATATTTACAGATGTTTATGGTGGTTTGGTTTGTTCATTCGGTCACTTCTTCAATAAATCCAATAAGACGGTTTACTTCCACATCACAAATGTGTTCAGGTCTTTCTGTTGCATTAAAGACATAAATCTGTTTGTAGATATTAAACAATATGAAATGAACCCACATGTGCTGACAGGGTATTAAAGCTTTGTGCTGCTTCATATATATCCACAGGTTATTATTATGTGATTTGTCACAATTCATTTTTTTAAATCAATAGTTTAGTTTATTATTATTTTGTTTACGATTTAATATTTTTCACTATTTATTTATGAATTACGTGACCCAGAATCCCTTGCGTCAGCACTGACGTCATATTCCCTCGCCCGTGTTCCGCTCGTTCACTCCTCGCATCGTTGGTGGTTTTTCTGCTTTTATTACCGACTCTTCTCTCCGGTAGCAGCCGTTTAACGAGCCCCGCGGTGTCGGTGTGAGCAGTATGGGTCCCGTCGAGGTAAACTACGATGATTATGTTCGTTAACGGGATGTTAACGGGGATACAGCTTCATGTCTTTGTCCGCCTCAGGGTCAGGGTTAGAGTTCTGGTGATTCAGTGTTTTCTAGCTCGTTAGTAAACGTTTAAACACGTTTGAATACACGGTCACGTGGCAGAGACTCTCGTGGTGTTTGAATGTGTAACAATAAGTCAATGAGCACAGATTGTAACGTTAATACATCTCTTTATGTCGCTTCTCCTTTAAGATTCAGAGGAGTGATGATATTAAAGTCTGCTGCATGTTAGATCGTGTTGATACGAGCTGCGGTCAGCACACTTTAACATGGTGGTGATCATTGATCATGTGGCTTCATTATTATTTATTAATGGAGTTGTATTATGACGTTAGTAAAGCATTAATAAGGCGTGTTATTCAGAGGCTCGACGGAACATAATTCATATATTATTATAATAATAACAGCTGTCGTCCTGCAGCTCCTCCACATGTCCGTCTTCTCTCAGAGTTTCTCTCCCTGCGGTCGATTTCTAGCAGCTGGAAACAACTACGGAGAGATTGCTGTGTTCAGGTCAGAGACTCCAACACATCAATGCAGAGCCCTGTTATATTCATATTAATGTTCACATTCATATTAATGATCGTTGTGTTGCAGCCTGTCGGCAGCTCTGAGTCCAGACGCCACCGCTCTGAGTCAGAAACCTGTTCTCACCTTCACAGGTGAGTCAAAGTACATTCACATGGTTTTTGTTTAGCTCTCCTGTGGTTGAGTTCTCTAATATCCTACACTCTCCTCCAGCCCATGAAGGCCCCGTGTTCTCCCTCCTCTCCACTGACTGTCACCTCCTCAGTGCAGGAAACGGAGAAATCAGCTGCTGGAGCTGGAGCGAGCTCATCAAGAAGGTGACTGTCTCTTTAAGTCTTGACAGGTGGTTCACAGGAGCACGCGGGAGCACGCCTGAGCACGCGGGAGCACGCCTAAACATGCCTAAACACACAGGAGCACGCCTAAACACACAGGAGCATGCCAAAACATGCCTAAACACACAGGAACATGCCTAAACACACAGGAACACGCCTAAACACACAGGAACACGCCTGAACACGCCTAAACACGCAGGAGCACGCCTAAACACACAGGAGCACGCCTAAACACACAGGAGCACGCCTAAACATGCCTAAACACACAGGAACATGCCTAAACACACAGGAACATGCCTAAACATGCCTGAACACGCCTAAACATGCCTGAACACGCAGGAGCACGCCTGAGCACACAGGAGCACGCCTGAGCACACAGGAGCACGCCTAAACACACAGGAGCACGCCTAAACACACAGGAACACGCCTAAACACGCAGGAACACGCCTAAACACGCAGGAGCACGCCTAAACACGCAGGAGCACGCCTAAACACGCGGGAGCACGCCTGAACACGCAGGAGCATGCAGGAGCACGCAGGAACACGCGGGAGCACGCCTAACACGCGGGAGCATGCAGGAGCACGCGGGAGCACGCCTAACACGCAGGAACACACGGGAGCACGCCTAACACGCAGGAACACGCGGGAGCACGCCTAAACACGCGGGAGCATGCAGGAACACGCCGGAGCTGTGGACCCTTTAATGGAGGAACGTTCTTTAACACATTGAGTCCAGTTGATCTTTTTCACACGATAATAAATGTTTTCTTTAAACTCTGTCTCCTCAGAATGTCAAACCTCTGTGGACCAAGAGACCGAACTACAAGTGAGTCTATTGGTCCTCATATTATATGTTGTATTAAATAAACATCGAACAAAAAGTTGGGAAATTAGTGTTTGGTAGATTACTTCTCTGTAACAATGCTTCTTGGCGATAAATGTTATACCGTTGGAAAGCCTGTTTATTTACCTTTCAAACGGTGCCCCATTTGTAAAGAACATGCATTTGTGGGATGAGCAGCACAG